AGTGATTTCATTGATCTGCCCCACTCTGTCTTTTTCATGCCACCATTGATTAGTAACCGAGACTGCTGTGTAGGAGGCATATCATGACAGCGGAGATGAATGTTCTTTTAAAGTGTAATTAAAAAATCCTGCTTGCAGAATGTCTGTATGCCAAAAAATTCCAAGACTTTCTTTACAACTGTTCAGCTCTGATTTACTCCTCCCATGCTCACCTGGGTGAGTAGAGAGTCACTCCACGGGCCACCGTCACTTCCCAAATGAAGGCAGCGCCTGGACTGGAGCAGATGTCTGCATCATTCCTTAAGAAGTCACTGAGAAGCCTATGAGAAAGAGTCTGGGGCATCTGGGGTTCTGTGGAATGCCCTGGGCACCCGCGGAGATTATTATGTTTTCTGCCAGTGCTCTTGTCTGGAAAGCAGCCCTTGGTGGGATACTTGAGTCTGGGGAATGGTGCAGAAGTGAGTCTAACTCATAAGTAGATAGGCTCCAGCGCGCACTACAAAAGCAGCTCCAGGCTTCAGAAAGTAGCAGACTTGTTCTCACTTCACACTGACTGTGTGGTGGAGTTCCTTGTTTATCTTGCATTTCAATTTCCTCTTTTATAAATTAGGGGTAAAAGCATTTAGAATAGTTCACTTGATATAATTATTGTAAAGAATGAAAAGAGTGATGTCTCCAAAAGGCTTGGCAGGATACCTGATGTATAGAAACTGTTTAATAAATATCTGCTCCATTTCTCCGAGTTAACAGTAAGAAGTGGGAGGAAGTTAACGAATGTCCATCAAGGTATGTGCTTGAGGGTGGAGTCAGTGCTGCTGTCTTTGCTCAGGGGAAGTGGGATGTACCAAAACAGAGCCAAGGAAAGAAGCATGATGTGGTTAAGAACACAAACGGTTGAGAACTCTCTGTTTAGCACTGTAGCCCATTTTTTAATTGGATTATTTGTTATTTTGATGTCTAGTTTCTTGAGTTCTTTATATATTTTGGAGATCAGTCCTCTGTCAGATGTGGGGTTGGTGAACATCTTTTCCCATTCTGTAGGCTGTCGTTTTGTCTTATTCACTATGTCCTTTGCCTTACAGAAGCTTCTCAGTTTCAGGAAGTCTCATTTATTAATTGTTGCTCTCAATGTCGGAACAGCTCTAAGGCAGGGGGAGGGGCTTGGACCTGCCTCTACTAAATGTACCTCCTCATCGGAGGCCTTACCTTCTTGTAGGAGGGAATGGCGGGGGCTGGGAAGGTACTGAAACGGGGAGGCTGGAGGGGTGAGAGGAAGGAAGAAGGGGTCTTTGGTGTGTAAAATAAATAAAAAATTTTTCTTAATAAAAACAAACAAACAAACAAAAAATCCACAAACTTCACTTTCTGAGGCCTGGTCCCTTTTCTGCCTGAGAAAGGGTGGCATTTCTGTCTTTATATCCCTTTCATGCCAGGGACATTTCTGAATGGTGTATGTATTAAACAGGCTCCTCTGGAAAAGCCAAACAACTCTTGTACTGCAAATTTTCACACCATGGTCCCAGACTGGCTGGACTGAGACCCAGTGTTTCTTACTTTTCACAATTCTGAGTAGGAAATAGCCAGGAAGAACGGCATTTCTAACACACCTCTTCCTGTGGGTTCCCTCGGGGCTACAGATTCACCCCAGAAATAGCTGTCTGCTCATCCAGTCCTTAACAGGGCCTGCTTACTAAAGGTATCAGGTCTCCCTTTTCTGTTGAAACTAGAAGCACTAGATGGAAAAGAGGGAGGGGCTTAGTGCTGGTGATCCACGGGCTGAGGGGCTTAATAAATAATCAATACATGAGGAAGCCCTTTCCTGCTGAGTGTTAATCTCAACTATCAGTCAATATGTTAAAGATAGAATTTTCAGCCATCTATGTACTTCATGTGTTGTGACATTATTACTGACTTTTGTCTCTTTTCTATGTAGATCTAAAAGTCATTTTGATTTGTTTTTCTTTTGGTCTTCACCCTAATTAAATTTTCTAAGATTTCCCCTTCATAGCAGAAACAGCCCCCAGCTTTCTCTCTCTCTCTCCCCCCCCACCCCCTCTTCAGGAGGTTTCCTGGTTTGAGGTCAGTCAACAGTGTAATTAATTCACCCCAGAGGTCTTGTGTACTTTTTATACATGCTAAAAGCTTCAACAATGTTTTGTAGATACTCAGACACACATGCACACCCATACATGTACACACATGCACATGCACACTCATGTGCACTCTTGTGCATGCAAGTGTGTGCACACACACACATACACTCACACAAGGACACACATGGACACACACAGACACACAGACAGAAAATCTGTAACCAGCAAAGTATAATCAAGGTCTTCTTTCAAAAGGAGAAAGCAGTTAAAATGCACAGCTGGGTATGCCAGAAAACACATAATTAGACAAATTGGATTTAAGAGTTACGTAAGGTCTCAACTGAGCCAGTGAATGAGAAGTTGAAAGAAACGTTGTGATTGCTGCTCCAGTCCCTGGGAAGAAAAGAATATGTGGATATGTGTGCGTTGGGCAAATAAAAGGCAATTACTGGGCATTATGGAGTGTAGCTGACATTTCAAATGGGTTAAGCTATAGAATGTCTGATGTGGGGGGGCTGTGCTGGGGGATAAAATGTTGTCCAGGGCTAAAAGAGAGAAACTGTAAGAATAGATGTGCTTGAAAGGAAGATCTGGAAAGTTCTGTTTTAGTGTTGTATGTTGTAAAAGATAAAGGGCAGTTTAAAAAGTATATTATGCAATTTAAGTTATATATTATGTAATTGTTCTATATGCTTAAAGTTTCAGAGAATTTTAAGTACCAAAGAAAAATTGTATATTACAAATTTCCTTCTAACAGTGGACTTTCTACACAAGGCAGGTATGTTCTAGGAAAAATAATGGAGTTTACAATTTAAGAATTTTTTTAACTAAGAATTCTCAAATCAATGCCTAACTTTTCAAAATGAATCCCATAGGACTTAGAAACTAAACTAAATTACTACTTTTCTTATTTGCAAATAATCTTGTTTGCAAATATGCCTCAAGACAGCTGAATGAAAAGTAGATAGTCTTCTCTTTCAACCATCTCCCTGAGATAACCAGGACAAAAATGTAATTGTCTGAGACAGCCCTGTTTTCTTAGAGAAAAAATCCTGGATTAATTGAAGAAGAAATTACCTATTAGTCCCCAAGACATCAATTCTTATAGCACTTTGGGCCTGTCTCTTAGCATGCAATTTAAATATATATCCTTAGCAATAAAAATAACTTCTTGTCTATTGATACTGCTTAACCATTAAAGCCTTTATCAGCAATCTTGTATTTGGCTTGATAGAGTTTACAAAATAAAATGTTTTAGGGCCCAGGGAAATGGCTCAGATGGGAAGAACATTTGCTCTTTAAGCATGGGGATCTGATTCTGAATCTCCAGCACCTACACAATGTCAGGGCATGGCTGTATGTGCCTGGAACCACAGGACTGGCAGTGGGGGGTGGGAGTGGGGGGCGGTGGCGTGTGGATACTAAGGACCTCTCCCTTCCAGAAACTCTAGCAGAAATAATGATAGACCATGTCTCAAGGCAATAGGCAAGAGCAATAGAGAAAGACATCTGACCGTCTCCTCTGGTCCCCAGATACACAGGCATAGAGCATACATTTGCACAGTCAACATGGATACAATACACAAACACTTGGAAAACATCTAATCTATAAAGTATATGTGAAAAACTGTCACAAATGCAAAGACCAGCCAAGAACTTGTTTCTTCAACCTTAGTCTAATTTAGTAAAAGAGACAGCAACACATTAGAAAGTAAACAACTCCATCATGTACTTGGTGGTTGTATATTAATATTTATCATTTATCTTAAAGATACGGAAAATTATTTAGAGGAAGTATAATTTGTTTATGTTGCCATTTGAAATGCACATTTGTTTCAAAGGAACTGTTTTTTGTTTGCTTGTTTTGCCACAAGTAAGACAGTGAGTTCATTTGATATGCATTATTGCAATAAAGTGTTGTATAATACTTTAGTATTTTGAACTGATAATCAAATAATTGTGTTATTTGTTATAGGCATACATAATAATGGCAAATATTCCTGATTATTAGATCCTGTATCAAGAATAACTAAAAACTTCCCGATTATAAATCAAATGAGTCTATGAAATACTCAAAACTTTGATAATATAGTGGCATATAACTACAGAGTATATCCTCATCTACTTTTAAATTCTTTTCAACAGTTGCCCAACAGGTTACACAGTTACAAACATTGAGCTTGGAGGAGATGCTGTATCCCTTCAGTCATGTGTGGACTAATCTCCGGTATGTTTGCTAGGACGGCAGTGACTGATACAACCCAGGAGGGGCAGACCTGACTCCAGGCAAAGCACAAGGCTCTTGTCAGCTGACCTGCAGCTCCTTGCCCCACACATTCTAAGAACTTTCAGAAATGTCAAAGGGGAGTACAGATTTAGCTGAACATTCCCTGGATTAAATGAGAGGTCTTCATCCTCAAGTCAGTATCAGAATATACCTGACTCATAAACTTGTTGTTAGTGACGACTCACTGAATGGACGTACTTTACTACACTTTCCAGACTAAGAATCATCAACTCTTCTTTCATTGACAGTTTACACAGGGAACCGTCTTAAGTGGAATACATTGATTTGGTCTGATCATTAACAAGTCTGTAACATTATCTATTAGTTCAGGATCCATTGTGACATAAAACAACCAGGAGACTGAAAGGAATAAGGGTCTGGATAACAGCTAGGAATGATTTTAAACCGCAGCTCGGTTTGTACACTCCCCACTTTAGTTTCTATCAAACTGAATCATTCCAGAAACAGGCGGATACTTTGTATTGTGTTAAGAACCAAAGTTGTTAGGTCCAAACATGAATATTTGTAGGCAGAGTTTCTGGTTTATAAAACTGAATTCAATGTTATCTCATCAGCCGGATGAGAAATAACAAAAACACACAAAGAATGCAGAGACTTACCGTATCACGTTGCCTGTTATCTTTCCCTGATACTATTAGGAAGTAGTTCCAGGTCAGTAGTAGCAATAACAACAGTGGTATCATGTAGAGCTCAAAGTTCCAGACGACAAAGAGGAAGAGCTGCAGGGGAGAAAAAGAGACAAAGACGGGAGTCAATTCTGAATTTCCTTAGGTGGACTGTCACGCACAAGCCCCCTCCAAAGCCACGTCTACACGCTTCAGAGCAGGGAGGTTGGCTGGAAATCAGCCCTAAGGACTTGGTGAGCCTCTTGCTGGAAGCACAACTGACCCCCCAATAATCACTGCCAAGATTTTCGCTTTGTTTAATTCTGTAAAGGAAAACTTGGTATCAGTACACTGTCGAGGACAATTTTAGTTTTTCCCCCTCTGTGAAATTACAGTTAAATTAGACAAAATAAAGCTTTGGGTTTTTTGTTGTTGTTTTGTTTGTTTGTTTTTCAGTAAAATGAGCTTCACTGTGTGGTCAGAATAGCTTGGTCTGTCTGTCTGTCTGTCTGTCTGTCTGTCTTAATCACAAAGAGTGAATCACCATTTATCATCAGGGACATTCTTTTCACAAATCTCACTTGATGCTACAACAGAACAAGCATAACAGGCAGGTGAAAACATATCTGTACCACAGAACCCCAAAGATTCCATATGATGAAAAAAACGCTGCTTCCAACAAGTGTTAAAAGAAGTTGGCTTACCATTTGCTATTGTTGAGAAAGTCAAGTGTTTGCAAATGAAGGTGAAGACCAATTTTGTCAAAGGAAGTTTTATGCATGACTTTTAACGCTACCTACCTATTTGAATAAACTCTTTTTAATTGTAAGACAAATGTCAGAGTAAGACTTGGAGTGACTGAGGAAACCATTCTATGCATACTTACATTGGCAACAATAGGATTTGAGACATAAGTCGTGAGTCACCCACCTCTTCACCAGGGCACTCCTGGGCAGATCATCTAAGTTCTCTGGGTCTGCAGCTCCTGCTGTCTGACTACAGCCACCTTAAACCAGGTGGGATTAAGAGCAGAATTTCTACCTAACCTTAATGCTAAGGAGCTGTGTAATCTTTCTATAGCTTCCATATCATGTATCTTAATTTCTTCCTCTGTAAAATGGGGACAATAAGTTTTGAGAACTGCAAAACTAACACAGTGCTCAGGATGTGGGCAAACACATATTGCTCTGTCCATACTAATGATACTCAGAAAGTTTACTAATTATTGACTGGAAATCATAACACCATCTGCCTACTAAGATTTAGTTGAACAGTAGCATAAGTGGGAATTTCAGTCATCTGCTCAGAGATGCATTTCACAGACCAGGAGAGTTAGGGGAAGGGTCAGAAGGACACTAATGTAAACAGCAGTGCTACCCAAGGCCTTCCTAGTAAATACCAGTCCAGGGCCTGGGCCTATTCAAGAGGCAGAGAGAACACCACCTGTGAGCACAGAACTTAGGCTCTGGGTCTGGTGACTTCACTTCTCTGTTTTCATATGTAAAAAGAGTCCTATAAATGCAATCACCTCTAACATCGCTGTTCTAAAATGTGAGATGATTTTATGGGATTACTGTACCACTTCAGTGGATGACCACAAGGAAATAGTGTGTTCTGGAAACACTGTGTTCCACTGCATGTATGAATTCATGGTGGTTGCAACAGCATTCACAAAACGTGTATAAGCACAGGCTAGACAAAATCTCAGTGAGGAAAGGGGAGTTGGGTGTGAAATCCCACTCCTGGCTGTGGAGTATTGGCAACTGTTGGCTGCTGGGAGAGGGAGAGCTGGTTTGCTCTGGAGTGCAGCTCCTGGCAAGTCAGCCCCTCTCCAGGGGAAGAACACACTGGGAAGCAGAAACTAGTTTCGAAAGGTTTGCTTTTTTTCAGAATATGAAGTTGGGTGAATGTCCATATGGATCTGGGAAGAGTTGGGGGAGGGAGGGTAAATATGATCAAAACACACTGTATGATACCCTCAGAAAACTATCAAAAATTTGAAAAAATGTTTGAGAGTGTGTATTTTACTAGATTTCTGATATGTCTGACTTAAATGGACACCAATATACATTTATATACTTATTTAGTATTCCACATGACAACGATAGGCCCATCTTCCAGAATAAGAACCATTCCACGTACTTCAATGCATTATTTCCAACAAAAATGTAGGAAGATTTCTAGAAAAAAATCTCATTCAATTTCTGAAATTTATATAATGTGTACAAAGATCATGCGACATATAATGGATGTTTAGGATTATTAAATGTGCTTTTGTGAAGATAACTCTTTCAGGAAATGAACTGAGATAAACTTGATAGTCAACCACTACATGTAAAGGGGGGAATTACTTTTGATTAGAGCCCATATAAATTCTTGATACAATTATTGCAACTTTTGGGTAGTCACTATAATGCAAACTCCTGGAGAATGGATGATTCTTTTTGGTTCACTGCTTTACATCTGGGGCTTAGAACATGACTTCGGCAGAGTAAGGACTCAGTAGCTAAACATTTACTCCCAATGAAAGTAAATGGACTCAAAACCATGCCAAATTATTCAGCAGTGTAATTATTTGTGTTAATAAAAGCACTATAGAACCATTGCCAGAAACTAGCTGACTTGAGAAAATACTCCCAGAATTATGAAGTGGGATGCTTCTAGAATTTTCTGTTTGGTAAATATGCCCTTTCGTGCTTCCCCAGAGAGGACTTTCCCTCCTTCTGCTGTACTGTTGCGCTGTCACGGGAACCCACTCTTTCCCTCTGGACCTTCTCATATGCCTGGATTTTCAGAGAGCACTCATGAGCCAGCATTGGTGGCACATGCCCCAGCACTCAGAGAGCATTCACTGCCTTCAGTGGGTTCTGCTCATATGGATGAGATTCAGATGATTTCATTGCTAAGTATGATCCAGTGGGATAATGTCAACCTGCTGAGGAGAGATATTCTGTTTTGTAATGTCTGGTCATTGATGTTAGAGTGACTGTATTGCTTTCAACACTATGGTAGTCTTTCAACATCACCAATTGCTTCAAACATTGGTAATAAGATGCACTTTGTGCATATTTTTCAAAAGTAAACATCATTCTCTTCTCATACCCCAATTAACTCATTACTGGCACTCTTGAAATACAGCACTCAAAAACAACACAGCATTTCCCATGCATTTCTATGGTGTTCAAAGTGCCCCATGTACAGTTACCAGAGCATGGATCAGGGGAAGACAGAGAAAAGAGAAATCAAGGAAGAAATTATATTTGCTTTAGAGATGCTTACAATGGAAGGATGGTCTTCTTTCTTACTGTCTGTGCATTAGGAAGCTACTCCTGTGGAAGCAACTTCCATGTTTTAAAAGAAAGCATCTTTAAAAGGAAGAAAATGATAGAACTTTGGATGAACTCCAAATGAAAAACATTAAGTTTTTCTTTTTCAACACTCAAATCATATATAAAAAAGTATTTAACATAGCTTAACAATAAAAACAGTTTTAATTTTTTTTTACCACGTGTTCAAAAGTAGGGAAAAATGTTTTATGGACTTAGGTTACTAAGAATCACTAAGAAAAAGCAGTTGCTCACTAGAGTGTTACAGGTGATTCCAGCTCTTGCTAGTTGAAGATCATCCAGGAAAAGGGCCCAGGGTGACAGAATTCCTTTTAGCTCATTCTTTCTTCATTAGACCTCCCTCCATCCTCCCTTGGCAAACTGTACAGGCTGAGCCACTTTTCCTTTCTAAAAAAGCCTGAGATTATACAGAAGGCCAGGCTTTCGATGGCCCAGCGAGGTAGTAGAAAGGAGGATCCTGGGAAAATGCAAAGCCAAGGGAACCCAGGATCTGTCCTTGGTCCTGACTACACTTTTTTATGGATTTGGGAGTAGACAAAAGCCATGCAGTAATGAGATGAAAGAATAAAAATACATCCCTAACACACACACACACACACACACACACACACACACACACACACACACACACACACACCAAATATAAACCATAAGGTGTTGGATGTGTCCTGATCTCACTCTAGAACTGCCTTTTCCTGTACAGAAAGAGAACAACAACAACAACAAAATCCTAGAATGTTTCAATATTACATTAGGCTAAAAGGAATTTATGCAGTATTTAATTTTATTCAATTCCATCACCCTGGAATATTTTTCTTATTCTCTTCCTCCATCACCCAGTCTATAGCTTTTCCTTTTCATGCCTGGATCCTATTCCTAGTATCTACTTTTTAATTTGGGCTTTTGGCATTTCACTTTCATAGATTCCACACCTTCATTTACACACAAAACAACTAACCCTACATTAGCTGTCCTTTCTCATTAGAGACTAAAAATGCTTCAGGTATTTGACTTTCTTTTTAAACTCAAAGATAGATGTTGTGATTTGTAACTAGAATTCTGCAGTAGAAAGTCTAAATGAGATGCTAGTTAAAATGGTACCAGCACTTATGCTCTCCACTGGTAGAAAG